TATTTTCTTATTCATTATAAAAACATTAGTATAAAATGTTAGCACAATAATGCACCTTGCTTGTAAGTGGAAAAGTATCCTAGCCCATAATGAATTATTCATAAGGTAACCAAGAAAATTTTTCAAAACTTCGGCCTCAAATCCTTTAATGAAGTGATACGCTACACTTAAGAACTTCCTCCCGGTATTCCGCGGTACTGCCATCTCTTACCACTTGATATTAAAAAGAAAAAAAAACAGCGCAAGTGATCGTAATTCTCTCATGTTTCCACTTATTTTCTTCTCTGCTTCAGGTTGAAAATTCTTCTGTAAATGGTTTCCTTCCATAAATTTACGTTGTTTATTTATTGTTTATCCAGGATTACTGCAGAATATATCAAACAATTAATTCTTTATCTTTCGTTCTTTCTTTCTTTCTCTCTGTTTCGCATTCTGCGCGTTTTTGACTTATTTCTTTTTTACATTTTATTTTTCAATTTCCTCTTCCAATGTTCCTTTTTCTTTTTTTGGAATAAAAAAGATGAATTATTAGTTGTACTGCTACATTCAGCCTTTCCACTGTCTTTCTTGTCATATTCTCAAAAAAGGAAAAAAAAAGGAGGTGAAGACTGATAAGGCTTGCAATTTGTTATTCCTTTGGTTTATATTTTGAGGAAGACATCTGGCCATTGTGGCTGTTGCTTGAATATAGGAATGGGCCTGAATCCATGATAGGCATTTTCGATGTAGAGAAAAAAGAGAAAGGACGCAAATCTATATGCATAGAAATCCGACTGTGAATTATTTTACTATATTTATTTATCTCAAATAAATTTATACTTGTTATTGCTTCTAGTCTTTTTGATATTTAAAAGAGATTTTGTTTTTTTATTTGTTTTTTCTTTTTTTTTTTTTTTGGTTGCCAACAGTTACGGCTTTCCATATCGGCACTTTAAGATTGTCCTTTTTCCGCCTCTGGCCCAAATAGAATCATTTTTGCTTCAGATATCACTTAGTCCTGAATGTTAACCATCCATATCATCCATTCATATATTTTTGGTTGACATCTTCATTAATATCTACTTATCTTTTTATTTATTTTTTGTTTCAGAAAACCAAAATTTATTTATAATCATTGGATTATTTGCCAGTTTCAACTACCAACATCATTTGTTTCTTTTTCCAGAAAAAAAATTTTTTGTAAATGAAAGTAATTGTTGTAAAGAGAAACTATTGCTGCAGGAATCAATCATTTATTTATTTTACATTCGATAAATTTTTTCGAACTTTTGCAGCGATGAGATTTTTTTAGTTGAACTTTGCTGTTATTATTTGCGCTCGAATATTTGTGGCATGAAATATCTCACTGAAAGCATTTTTGCAGATTTCAACAATCCTTTGCCATTTTATAAGAGATTAATCGAAAGTTAGTAATTAATAGAAATGACAGGAAGAGTGACACTATCCAGGAGCATAGATCTTAGATAAAGGTTAGGGATATTATTAGAGAGCTACAAGTTATGTGTTTCTCATTAAAATCATTTGTCGATAAGCTTTAAACAAGCCATAAAGTTTCAGGTGAAATCGAGGACGCGGTCTACATAAAAGAAACTAGCGAGTAATAATTCTGAAAATAATAGCGTCTTACACTATTGAGATATGCGAAAAGTTAATCAAGCCTGGAAATAACTGTAGTGGCCCAGCCCAGCAAATGATGATTCCATTTCATTCTTGGCTCAATAGTAATGAATACTACTTGTGAAGAAATGCAGTGTCACCAATGTCTCTTGTTTTTATTATCTTTGTCCATAATGGGAACAAATTGCTTCAAATCATTGTTGCGAACGATTATTAGAAAGTTTTTCGTTTTTTTTTTTTTTACTTTGTGAAGACAAAACTATTTGATTCCTTTTCATTTATCATTAAGATTAAATCTTCGAAATGATTCATCGCAATTTTATCTTTTATCTTTCCACATATTATCTCGAAATATTTATAAAAAATGTGTTTAACACAGTTAACATTTCCACCGAATTAGCAACATCTCTTGCACCAGCTGGAATCTTTACCTTTAGCCCCTTCTACCTTCCCAAAATTGCTAATAAAAACTCGAGTTCTTGAATGTCCTTCATTCAAGTATTAAAAAGACCATTTTCATATTTTTTTTTTATGATACTTGTTTTGCATTACCATATATTCCCTGTAATGCGTCTTTGTCTTGCCATTAGTAAATTCTTCAGCAACTGTCGATCAATCCATTACTATTAGAACAGATTAATCGACACTCGTCAATTGCCGCCGCTTTACAGTCAGTTAGGAAGCATCATATTGCAGTACATCAATCGATCCCTCGCGAAGTGGAATGCAGGATGTTGTTGGTATGCACTGCAGCATGCCACGCCACTTCATCTTGTTGTGCAGTTGTCGTTTTAGCAACTTGTGCTCATTTTAGAAAGAAGATTCCAGTTCTGGAATGTCACTGCTTAATGGAAATCATTTTCTACTTTCTGTATTTGAGAATGCATTCTTGTCCGATCTGCGATTAATTCAATGTGAAAAATATATTTTTGCATATTTGTTTTCTTAATTTTCAGTTTCAGTTATTCTGCTCTCTTTGAATCATTTCTAGCTGACCATTCACTGACCGTCCATATAGAAAGTCATGTCATCCCTCTGGTGACGTTGCAATCCGAAAGCACTTCTTCTATACTTTAACATAAACGATGAGTCATCTTGATTCCTAATTGCATTGTTGCTTTTTTTTTGCGAAGTTTGTCGGAAGCATTCTTAATGCTTGGCCAGGTTCATCGATTTGGAGCAAATATATTGGGCAAAGTATTCTTGGCTATTGCAAAACGTACACTCTTTGCACTCTTTTTCTCTCTTCATTGGTGCTTTTTTTTTTATCACTGATTAAAAAAATGAAAATGCATCTCACACTTTTAAAAACTTCACTCCTTTGATTATTGGCTGCATTTCAAGAAATTTCAATGATTACGTCACAGTTGAAGAATTTTTTCAGGAATCCTTTACCTTCCTTTTTGACTACGATTATTCATAATTCCAGTTTCGAATGGATTTTTGATTAGGATCGTCTCACCGATGATTGAATACCATTTTTGCCATTAACTAACTTTTGTCATTGACTGTCGCTTAAATGTGTTGTGGTTATTGTTCCACAGTGTCTATTGGATTTCAGCGATTTTCCCTGACTTTCAAAAAAAAGTTTAGATTAAACTTTTGACGAAATTGAGAAATGCTTGTGATAATGGATCATTTCTATTGCCTCAACTATTATTCACTCTTTCCTTGATTTCTTACTCATTCCTATATTTATGTCACTCCCTTATATTTACCTCTTCCTAACAATGTATGTCATGCGCAAATGTCCATCCTGTCGATAACTTGTAACATTTTCTCGTCAGTTTTCGTCAGTCATTCAATGCAGTTGAATATTTAATTATTACGAGATTATAAACTAAATTGAGCAATGTCAATGATGACTCACAAATGTGATTGTTGATAGAAAACAAAGTTTTTTATTATTTATTGATGCTGAAATTTTACTACTTCTTAATTTGCATCACTTGAAAAAAATCTTAGAATATCTCCGATTTGTAACATTGAACTAATATTTAAATTAGAATCAGAAATATAAGAAATGTCACCTTTATGAATCGATAAAAAATAACCTTAAAAGAGAACTAAGTTTGCAATGGTTTGTCAAATATGCATTGATGAATACTCTAATCGTTTAGTCTATTTTTGCACTGTTACAAGTCTCATCCTAAAATGCTATCATCTTTTTGGAATAAAATTAGTCGTTTCCTTCATTTGTTGGTGACATTCAGTATTCGGAAATCTGCCCAATGCAGTTTTGTCTTATTCCAACCTGATCCAATCCCCTTCCAGAAATCCCACAACCATGTTCTCAGTGTTATACCTGAGTCTATAATCTTCCCTTTCTCTTTCTCTCTCTCTTTTGTGTATTCTTTCTGTATACATATATATGTACAGTTGAATTATACAAACATCTCATTTATGTTATATCGGAATGGGTTCAAATAAATAGACAGCTAATGTCTCGATTGGATGGCGTTTGTTGCAGAATCTTGTGACATCAGTGACAGATGCGCCACGATGGCTATGCGAACAAATTCGGTGGTGTCAATATTGAAAAGGCTTGACATGCACATTTCAATAAAAGCAAAAGAATGTGAGTGTTGTACCTGTGCTCTTTAACTTAAAATTTAGCATCTTTTCTACTCAAACATCTCAGTAAATCTGTTGAATTGTTGAGATTCATCCATTAACATCATGTTTACATCATTTTGCTAGCACTCTGATGGCACGGAAGATGAGCACGCGGAGTTCATCTCACTTTTATTGTCACTCTGTAGAATGATCAATTCTTCTAGTAGTATTATTTCATGTGTCACATAATTTAACTTTCATTTAGAGTTTACATTTACATTGAGTGAATGAAACTTACATTTCCAAAATTCGTTTACTTCTACACCGACATCAGTTTTTCTATTGCAAAATGAGGGAAATGCATATATATTGATCGGTCTGTATGTAAGTCTGTAATGAATAAGTCCTCTGTCAGTCAGGTGACATCCTTTTGTTTATCAATGTGGATAACGGAGAAGGGAAGATGAGATTATCTGAAACTGCAGGGGACAGATTAGTTTCCTTTTAAAGGGAACATGCGAAGTTATCGTAGTATATGTTATTTCAGGTAGTTTTTTTTATTATTGTAAACAAAGATAAGAGTTTCACGAATTCCTGGCCAGGGTTTTATTTTTTTATTTTTTATTTTGAAAGGAAGAGCACATCTTCGCATGGATGAGTTAAGGATACTTGCAAAGTCTTGTTCTAATGGACAATTCTCATTTCGTAGCTTGTGGCATCGTTTGTCATGCATCATTTTTGAATCATCAACGTTGTGCGACGTATACTTTAATAAATTACGTACTATTTCGTTTAAGGATAACCGTGTGAAAGGTAATTTACAGGCGATGACGACCGATATAGCCGTGCGAGGTCACGATTATAATGGTCGGATCGAGGATTACGAGGAGTACGACGAGAATTCTTCTGCCAGACTCTTCGAGCGTTCGCGCATCAAAGCTCTTGCTGGTTTGTTTCGTTATGTTCCTTAGTGATGGAATAATTTCGTGCTTATTTTCCCGTTGCTAAAGTTGTTCTTTCAGATGAGCGTGAAAATGTTCAGAAGAAAACTTTTACCAAATGGGTTAATTCACATCTTTTGCCGGTGAATTGCAAAATACACGATTTATACATGGATATGCGTGATGGCAAGATGCTCATCAGACTTCTCGAGGTGCTCTCTGGCGAGCGCTTGGTAGCTTTTCCTTGTTTTTTAGATATAATTTATGAAATGTTCAAAGGTTCTTGGTGGTTTATTTCTCAAAAACATAATGTAGGAAAAAGATATCCTGAAACGGTAAGGATGATAATAGCTTCTGGTCTGTTGCTCAGCAATTTTTTTTTACATTTAATTTTCTAGTTCTCCTTGCTTTTGCTTCAATGAATAGTCAGATTATTTGGGTGGAATAATAATAACTTATTTGGTCACGTTTTCTTTTTCTTTCTGCCATCTCATAAATTTTCTGAACAACTTTGAAGAGAAAAAGTTGAATATTATATAGTGAACATGCATTTTCGATGATATATTTTCTTTTTATGTAAAGGAGATAAAATACACCTAAACATATGCATATGTATTTATTAGTTTTATGTGAAACGAATTAATGTTCTGGATTATGAGACAATTTCTGTCGCTAGCTCTATCGCACTGATAACCGTCGCTTGCTCTCATTATTCACTCTATTCCTTCTTCCCAGTTCTTTCTTAAGCTAGAATATAATTCATAGGAAGAGATGAATTGGTGCACTCTAAAGAAAGAGGGACATTTGCAGTTCTCTCTACTCACAGAGAACCACGAAGAGAAACCGAAAAGAAATCATAGAAAAGCATGATCAGAAACTGAAAAAGATTTTTTATTGCAACTGACTTTATTCCAATGAGGAAATTTGAAAAAAAAGATATTGAAATTTGAAATAGAGGTAAGAAAAAGCGAACAATTTTTAGCGACCTTGATTTTTAAAGAGTTCAACAGAAAAAACTAGAGCAAAATATATGCTGGAAGCTAAAGTGAAAAGTTTTAATTGTCATTGAAAATTGACAACAAAGGAAATACTTCGTAATATTTGTTAGTGCTTCCTTCAATAAGTTACTGCTATTTCATAAATCAACTTTAAAGAAAGTAAGGTGATTGTGTTCATCTTTTTTATGTTCATCCTTTAGCTGGAAGGAATAAATATATCAAGTTTGTTCATCGTTGTGAAAGTATTCACCAAACAGTTGTTTGTATAGAAGATGCGAATAAGGAATTTGAAATTGAGTATTGACAGGTTAATGTACAAAATTATAGCCATTTTTGAAATTGCATGTCATTCAAATTTGTAATTCTTTGGTATAAATTAGGTGGCGCAGAATATTTATCCATCAGGTAATTGCGAAGTTTTCCTCTTATAGACTCTTATAGATCTTTAATTTCTTAAAATCATTCTTAAAAGAATGGAAAGCAGTTTATTAGATCCATTGCTTTTGATAGGAATGGAATTAATATTAGCAATATAGGATAAAAGCTATGGAAATAGGTTTGGTTTGTAATTCATAGATAATTATGAAAACAGTGAAACCAAAATAGAACAAGTAATCAAAGTAAAAGTTATGTAGATTCAGTAAATATGACTTCGACTATTCGAGATGCTGTATTGCTCACACCTGTTGATATTGTTTTTTTTTCACGAAGTGTTTTCTTTTACATCTTTGAAGATACAAAATTTTTAAGTTACGTTTATTGTATATATGCATGAAGAGTTTGGCCCTTCAAATTTTATATTTTAGATTATATCATATAGTAATATTATGTTGCATCAAGTCATTGGATTCTTAGATTCTTTTTTTTTTTTTTTTTTGGTAAAGCACAATACGCTTGTGAAAAACCAAAAGATTTCAGCCAAAACCAACTCGTGGTAGAATGCGTATACATTGTCTTGAAAACGTGGACAAAGGGTTGCAGTTTTTGCGCGACCAGCATGTTCATCTGGAGAATCTCGGGTCACATGATGTTGTAGATGGTAACCCCCGACTAACATTGGGTCTTATCTGGACCATTATTTTACGATTTCAGGTTTGATACCTCTTTCTTTATAGGTTTTATATTATTTGGATCTGACAGTTACAGTTATTTGTGAAGATCCCTAGATGTTTTTATTTACGTGAGACACAACAAATCAATAAAGAGATTTGGAATAAGTAGTTTTGGAATAGTTATCTTTATTGATGTCAAACTAATACGTATGGTATTGGGTGGTAATTTGGTAAAAGAAAAAGATAAAAATAATAAATTATTTAAAGCATTAAACTTATTCTTCCTTACATTTGTTATTTCTTCTAAAAAATTGGATAGATGCATATCTGCAAAAATTGATTATTGTAGGGCTCTTGTATTTTACTAAGCAAACCTTGTTTCAATTAATTAATAGATTATATTGAAATAATTCCTCCTTTAATTATATTTCCTGTTCCACTCCTAACAATTTGAGCATTAAATTCATTTTTCAAAAACATACTAAGGATCTAATTATGCTCTTGTGATTAAATTTAGGTAAATTACTAAGATATCTAAAATATTCAGTTCATTTTGATTTTTATAATTAGTCAGGAAGCAGTGTCTGCGAGACATTTCCATTTCAAATTTCAAATGATTATCCGTTTATTTATTGTTCTAGATTCAAGATATTACATTCGAAGATGCAGACAACCAAGAGACACGCAGTGCTAAAGAGGCTTTATTACTATGGTGTCAAATGAAGACAGCTGGTTATCCGAATGTAAACGTCCGGAACTTCAGTACTTCATGGCGTGATGGCTTGGCATTCAATGCACTTATTCATAAACATCGTCCCGATCTCATAGAATATGAAAAGTTGCAAAAATCCAATGCACTTTACAACCTGAGTAACGCATTCGAAATAGCTGAGCAACAACTTGGATTGATCAAATTCTTAGACCCTGAAGGTTTCTATAAATTTGTAATTTCCAAAATGTTTTAGATAAATGGTTATTGATTAGATCTTTATTACAGTTCTAACATTCGTCTTTTTCTGTGTTTCTGTTGTCACTTTCTTGTTTTGATATATCTTATAGTTGACCATTGCAGATGTGAATATCGACATGCCTGATGAGAAATCAATCATCACTTATGTCGTGACGTACTATCATTATTTCAATAAAATGAAGCAAGAAACTATCCAGGGAAAAAGAATTGGGAAGGTGGTTTTTCTGCTGATCAATTAGTTTTGTAGTAACTTTAGCTTATTTTGTATGTTGTGGGTTAACTCTCAAAACTTATCAAGTGCAGTGCTTGATATCAGGTTGTGAATGAATTGGTGGAGAATGAAAAGCTGATAAATAATTATGAGCGTTTATCGAGCGACTTACTGGAATGGATTCGACAAACTATTGAATCACTGAATGATCGTCATTTTGTCAATTCGCTGAACGGTGTACAGAAACAGCTTGCTGAGTTTAACAATTATCGCACGCAAGAAAAACCGCCGAAGTAATGCGGAATTTTTCGAACACTTGTTACTACATTTTCTGCTATTTAAATCATCAAATTTGACAAAGATAATTATCTTTTTTCCAGATATACCGTAACTCAATTCATAGAGTTTTACCAAATTTTTTTACCACTATTTAAATTTCAGGAATTTATTCTCATCTCATTTGTACTTCTAGGTTCAATGAAAAAGGTGAATTAGAAGTACTTCTTTTCACTATTCGTAGTCGTATGCGTGCCAACAATCAGAGACCATATTTGCCAAGGGATGGCAAACTAATCGCAGACATCAATCGAGCTTGGGAGAATTTGGAAAGAGCAGAACATGAAAGGGAACTGGCACTGAAAGAGGAAATTATTAGGTAAATTGTGATCCTTTGACCTGGTTTTATTCCGATGGACTAGAAACTTCTTTCGCATGAATGCCCACTTAAAAAATGTTCTTCAAAAGTTTTTAGTATGTTGATAGCATACATTTGTTTTACAGTTGTAATCATTGGTAAGAAGGATTTTTTAGGCAAGAGAAACTTGAGCAACTGGCAGCTCGATTCGACCGCAAGGCGAGCATGCGAGAAACATGGCTTAGCGAAAATCAGCGACTTGTTAGTCAGGATAACTTTGGCACTGATTTGGCTAGTGTAGAGGTAAGCAACTTATGGCATTAAAAAAAATTATTAAAGAAAACTCATACCTTTGTTATCTGCATGGACTGTGTTTGTGGTGTTTCGAAACGTCTTTCAACTAAGATAACAAGTATTTTAGAGAATACGAGGAAGTATTATAGCTTTTTGATTTTTGTTTTATCGACATTGTTGGAAATGGGAACCATTTTTGCGCTTTGATGCACGTTTAGAATGTAAGAACTATAATATAAATACTTTTTTAGGCGGCAACAAAAAAACATGAAGCAATAGAGACAGACATTTATGCATATGAAGAACGTGTACAAGCGGTTGTTGCTGTTGCTGGTGAATTGGAAGCTGAAAATTATCATGATATTGACCGAATTAATGACAGGTCATGTTTATTTCTAACATCGTCAAATTTCTTTCTTTTTTCTTTCATGTTATTATAATGTTATATTGATATGCCGCTGTATATAATAATATCATGATGCATTTCAGTAGACACATCAGCTTCAGTTAGTGACTTAACACTAGCTTAACTGTCTCCCAGTATTATTAACTTATTGACTGAAACTTTACTAAATTATCTCTGTCTCGAGTTTTTAATATAATGACTTTGCAGAAAAGAGAATGTGCTACGATTGTGGAATTACCTTCTTGAATTATTGTTGGCACGCCGTGTTCGTTTGGAACTTTCTATGGCAGTTCAGCGAATTTTCCATGAAATGGTCTATGTTTTGGATTGGTGTGATGAAATCAAGGTAATTGCCAATCTTTAGTTTCGGTATATATAAGCAACATCCATTAACAAACTTACAAGTCTTTCCTTGCAAATCATTAAAAGCACAAAAGTTCAAATAAATGTTTCCAAACTTAGTCACTGAGTGAATGTTTATAACTAAAAGTTCATGTTTGCATTTATATTGATAAAATTTAGGTTCGTCTTTTATCTGAAGACCTGGGTCAGCATCTTATGGATGTCGAAGACTTACTGCAGAAGCATTCACTTTTGGAATCAGATATCAATATCGTTGGCAACCGTGTTAAAAATGTGAATAGTCAAGCAGAAAAATTTGCTTTACCAAATGGTCCGGATGGTAGTGGTTACAAACCAGTGGAACCGTCATTAGTTGAAGAGAGAATGCAGATTTTGTTGGATCGTTATGCAGAGCTAAACGAATTAGCAGTGGAACGCAAGCGTCGTTTGGAGGATAATAAACGTTTATGTCAATTTTGGTGGGATGTTGATGAATTGGAGCATAACTTAAAAGATATGGAACAAGTACTCACTTCACCAGATACTGGTCGTGACATGGTTTCCGTGTCACTGCTACTAGCTAAACACAAAAATGCTGAACAGTCACTTGATATAGTTGGTAAACGACTGGACGATCTCGAAAATGAGGGGCAGCAGTTGCAGGAAGAGAAGATTCCAGGTTGGCTTCATACTTCTTAAATTCATAGATTTTATAGCGGATAACATAGTTTTCATTTTCCAGCTCCATAATCATTGAAATTTTGTTACGCTGATTATAAATTTTTTGGATTTTTATTTTTCGACCAGTCCCGAGATTGAGTGATAGCTGAATAGTTCTTAAAACTTGTATGTAAATGTTTTAATTTAAATAATTCCATTGTCGTAAGACATTTAGTGAACAACGTCCTTTCATTCTTGTGTGATTTATTTATCACATTGGTTGAAAGCTTTCTACGCTTAATGGTCGCATAAAATTCATATATGTTCAACAACAGGGAAAGATCTTTTAGGTTAACTTCAGAATCAAGTTGATTAGATAAAATAACACTCAATCCTAGGAACGTCTGTACTGCAGAAGAAATTAATTTTATGTTTTCTATAAAAGCAACAATAATACTTAAATTTGGTTTGTTAGCAGTTTCTGTTTTCCAAATTTATTTTCACTTTTACCCATACCTAGATGCTTCTCATTTGAAATTAGTCAAGGAAGCATATGGCAGTAATCTTCTTTAAGCGATAAATTCGCATCTGTTAGCTTACGTTATTGCCCTCTTTAAAGAATAGCGCAAATTTTTTTTCATTGAAATTATATTTAGAAAATAAATAGTAACATATAAAAAAAAAAATAAAAATAAAAAATATCGTCAAATTATTAATCATTTTCAGGTGCGGAAGCTATAAATAGTCGCTTGGCTACAATTCGTGATTATTTCAATAAGCTGAAAGAGTTGGCTGCAGAACGTCATGTACGACTTTCCGGAGGTGTCAATTACTATCAGTTCTTCAACGATGCTGACGACGTTGACGCATATCTTGTTGACACTCTTCGTTTGGTGGGTAGTGAAGATGTTGGGAAAGATGAGGGTACCGTGCAATTACTTATCAAGAAGCATGACGATGTTAGCGATGATTTACTTAAATTCGAAGAAAATATCAAACAGTTGCATATGCAGGTGCGTTTTGGGAATGTTTTTTTCATGCTGATGACGAGGAAAGTTACCTCGTGTGATAGTAATATACTACCTTAATAAACGTTAAGTTTATTTCAAGTTATTCCAATTCACATAAACGCAGTTTTTTTGCTCTCTAATAGATGTACTGTTATGATTTCACATTTCCATCATTCTAGGCAGAATCTTTACCGCCTGAGGCTCGTGAACACCCAGACGTAAGAAGACGTCTTGATATGACTGAAAGACGAAAGGCAGAATTGGAAGAACTTGCGCGACTTAGAAAGCAACGTTTGCTGGATGCATTGTCTTTATACAAATTGTTCAGTGATGCAGATATTATTGAAGCATGGATTGATGAGAAAGTACGTTTTGAATCTGAAATCTGAAAGGAAATTTTTATGGATTTTTGATCTGATAACATGAAGAGACATGGTAGAAATTGGTTGTATGTCTTACAGGGCAAATTGTTAGCAACACTAGTACCAACTGATGATTTGGAAGAAGTCGAAATCATGAAACATCGTTTCGAAACCCTTGAAGCTGATATGAACAATCAGGCAGCTAAGGTTGCTACTGTAAACGAACTTGCACGTCAACTTCTTCATGTTGATCATCCAAATTCAGATGAAATTTTGCAAAGGCAGAATAAGCTCAATGCGAGGTAAGCAAATTTAATTATTTCCATCTTATTATTTTCAATATTTCCATGGGTTTTCTTGCTCTTACTGGAGAATTTTGCTTCGAAAATCTCATCAATCAGAATTCAGATGGGCGCAACTGCGTGATATGGTTGATCAGAAAAGATCTGAACTTGATCAAGCACATCGTTTGGAAACATTCCGTATCGACTGCCAAGAAACAGTTTCCTGGATTGAAGACAAAACCCGGGTACTTGAAGATGCTGACGAACTTACCAATGACCTCACCGGTGTTATGAAACTTCAGCGCCGTTTGTCTATGATGGAGCGCGACCTCGGTGCTATTCAGGTAATAAATTTTCTCAATTCAGAACAAACTTAAACTCATCTTCTGCAAGGTTGGATAAAAACAGTGTGAAAACAAAAACTTTGGAAATTGTTCGACTCTTTCAACGAGCAGTTAAACTTGTGATGGTTCTTAATGGTGCCAATGGTACTAAATTAGAAAATAAGACGCTCAGATTTGGTTAACCGTGTCACACATTAAAGTGATACAGAGTGTTATCACAAATCAAAAATTTCAAAAACTTCAATCTTTAGGAAGTTCTAGTCAGTTCATCATTTTAGGCTAAACTAGATTCACTGCAAAAAGAAGCCTCGGAAATTGAGAAGGAAAAACCTGCAGATGCAGCACAGATACGAGAAGATATCAAGCGAATACATATAGCTTGGGATATACTCAACAGACGTGTGCGGGAGCATGAAGCAAAACTTGATGAAGCTGGTGATTTGCAACGATTCCTTCGTGACCTGGATCATTTTCAAGCTTGGTTAACTGCTACACAAAGACAAGTATAAATCTTGGTCATTATATATTTCAGAGAATAAACATTTAATTAGTTCAGGTCGTTCAAAGCAAAATCATATAGTTTGATATTAGAGTTTCAGAACATCTAAGTTATGTAAAATTAGTACTAATTTTCTAGTAAACTTGCTGTGTATTTTAGGTTGCTTCAGAAGACGAACCACAATCTCTGGCTGATGCTGAACAATTGCTTAATCAGCATGCAGCAATTCGGGAAGAAATTGATGGCTATGCGGAAGATTATGTTAAAGTGAGTTACAGTAATGTAAGAAACCAAAACTCAACTTTTTTTCTTTAGATTATAGTTAACGGAGAGTCTTATTTAAGGGACAATGTATAGCAATAATTTCGTCATTTATTTTGGTTATAGATGCGAGCAATGGGTGATCGAGTAACGCAAGATCAGACGGACCCACAGTATATGTTCTTACGTCAACGCCTTGTTGGACTAGAAGAAGGTTGGGAAGAATTACAACGAATGTGGGATAATCGGCAGCATCTCCTTAGTCAAGGACTTAATTTGCAGGTAAGTATTAATTTCGATGGTGATTTCAAGTTTTGGTTGAATATTTCTTTCTGCTATAAAATCGTTCTTCAATTTCATTTTAGCCAGGGTATATGAATTAAAATATTTTAGATGTTTCTCCGTGATGCAAAACAAGCTGAAGTTATGCTTTCACAACAAGAAAATTATTTATCAAAAGATGAAACACCGACTTCATTGGAACAGGCTGAAAATATGCTCAAGAGACATCAAGACTTTTTGACAACCATGGATGCTAACGATGAAAAAATTAAGGTGCGATTTATAATTGCAAAGTTTTTTCGTGTTCGTTTGGTTTTTCAGCCCTGCTTTAAATTTTAAATTGTTAAAAAAATTGTTTCACTGCTTTTTTTTTTTTTTTTATTGTTTCATATATTGTTTTATTGGTTATTGCATTTCAAAGTCATTTAGGCAGTTGTATCTTTTGGCGACCAACTTTGTAGTGATGGCCATTATTCAGCTGATAAAATTCATAAGAAAGCTCGAAATATAGAAGAACGTCGCGAAGCCAATCGCGAAAAAGCTGTACTGTCATTTAATAAACTCAAGGATTCCCTTGCATTACAACAGTTCTTGTCGGATTGTGAAGAACTGCGGGAATGGATTGAAGAAAAGATGATTCGTGCACAAGATGAAACTTACAGGTTAGCGACACTGATATTTTATAAAATTGGAAATTCGAGTTCACTAGAAGCTGTAAAGACATCTGCTTTTCATATTTCTATGGTAAAGACCTTTTTCTATGGCTTTCAGAGATGCCAAAACAATAACGTCGAAATTCATGCGCCATCAGGCATTCCAATCAGAGCTGCAATCGAATCGTGAACGACTCGTACAGCTTCGTCATGCAGCAGTTAGACTGGCTGAGGAAAAGCCAGAGTTTCTTGGCACTATTGATCCACAGATTGCTGATTTGTCAATACAGTGGGAGCAACTCGAGAAAACTACAGAAGAAAAAGGACAGAAGTTGTTCGATGCCAATCGACAACAGCTTTATGTACAAAGTATATCAGATATGAAGGTTGTTTTGTTTGTTTTTTATTTTTATCACATGGATAATGTTGAATAAATCGATAATTATTAGTCATAGGCGTAAATGTCTTGTAACTGTACAGATTATATATATGTACAGATGTTCTTTCTATATGTTTTTGACAATCGTTTCATTTTGGGACTGGGCCGAACAACTTCAACAACAAATGACAGTTGAAGATACAGGGCAGGATTTGACAACAGTTAATGTTGCCATGCAGAAGCAGCAGATGATTGAAAGTGAAATGGTGAAACGAGCCGCACAAATAGATTCACTGCAGGTATTTAAGATATTTTGAATGTTTCGTAAATTTCTGTGCTGTGTAAACACAACTAACTCGTTACTCAAATTTCTGCACGGAACTTTCAAAAATCATACTTTAGCTGTAGAGTGTTGAAGAAAGGAAAGATATAATACAGTGGTGCAATAAGTCTTAAAAATGGAGAAGTTTGATCACCTGTTTTGAGTGTTTCATTTATTCTTTTAGCAAATGGAACCACAGCTTGAAGAAATGCATCCAGAAGAAGTGGAAGCAATTAAAGCGCATCGTCTGGCCGTACAGGAACAACTACAACGATTACAAGCGCCACTCGATGATCGACGTCGTCAATTAGAACGCAAAAAAAGAGCCTACCAGTTTTTGCGTGATGTTGAAGATGAAAAACTATGGTGTGCAGGTAGAAATTTTTAATTTTCTTTCTAAAAGCTTTTGGGTTTATTGAAAATTACGATTTACAAAATCAGGCTTTCCATAGATTTCAAAATTCTTGATTTTCTCAAATATCAGAAACTATTTGCAGAGCGATTACCATTGACACAAGCGCAAGAGATTGGTGAAAATCTGTTCGACTGTAATCGTCTGCAGAAAAAAATGCAATCATTGAAGCATGAAATTGATAACCACGAGCTATGGATCCAGAAAATCTGCCAAAATGGTCGTGAAATGATTGATGAAGGCCATGAACATAGATCAGAATTTCAGCAAAAAATTGATGAATTGATGAAAATTTGGCAGGTATTAGTTTTTTTCTTCCAATTTTTTTGACCAGAGTTCGCTCATGGAATTTGCTGAAGAAGGTTTAACTTCTTGTATTTTCTGTATTCCAGAACTTGAAAGATTGTTTGGATACACGCAAAGAACATTTAGCGGAGAGCGAAAGGGCACACCAGTTTCTGTACGATTGCAATGAAGCAGAAGCATGGATGAGTGAGCAGGAGCTTTATATGATGCAGGTTTGTTAGTGACATTTCTTTTACAATGCATAAAATTTGACTTTTGCGAACAAAAAATTCTAAATTATAGGATTTTTTTGTGATTCATAATTATGCCAAATTTTCAAATTTTGTTATAAAAATTATTTACTAAGACAAAAACGGAATATTATCATTCACCGATTAAATCTCGAATATATACATAATGTCTACAATCAAGTTTACTACTGCAGTGGGAAGGGGCAGGTAGAGTTTAGCTATTATATAGAAATATTTTGCCACTATTTGCTGCCCTTTTACAGGATGAACGTGGTAAAGATGAATTCTCAACAGAAAATCAAATTAAAAACCATGAACGTTTACAACAAGACATCAATCAGTATGCAGATACTATTCGAAATCTGGCTACACAAGCTCAAAAATTCGTTGATGAAAAACGTCCTTTGTGGTAATCATCTTGAATAGTCCAATTTGTAATTTAAAGAAATGAAGGCGTATAATTCTTGTATAATGTTATTAAAAATTACAGTTTTTATTGCTATTATAGGGAGCATATTAATGTTCGGCAAGCTCAAATCGAAAAGTTATACGCAGGGTTACAAGATTTGTGCAAAGAGAGGCGAAAACGTTTGGATGAAACATTACAGTTGTATGAGCTTCATCGAGAAATTGATGATTTATTACAATGGATCGCGGACAAAGAAGTATTGTTTTTTTTGTTGTTTTCGTTCCATTGTGGTTACATTTAGATTTTCGAACTTCTGTTTCCAACTGTATATGATTTACGCAGTGATTAGTGTATTCATTTTAGCTGGTCGCTGGTTCTCAAGAACCAGGACAAGACTACGAACATGTGCAAATGCTTATTGAACGTTTCTTACAATTTGCTCGAGATACCGAGAATATTGGGTTAGACAGGGTAGCAAATGCAAATGATGCATGCGATCATGTATAATTTTCATACTTTATTTATTTATTTTTTTACATTGCCAAAGTCGAAATTCAAATTGGACAAAAAATTCGAATCGGCTTTGGTTCTTATTCTCTGAATAATTTTTTTTTTTAGTGTTTTCAGTAGTTATTGTTAGAGTTTTTTTCTTCCCAGTTAATCGCTATTGGACATTCGGATGCTCCAACAGTTGCTCTATGGAAAGATAGCCTGAACGAAGCATGGGAAAATTTGCTTGAACTAATCGATACGCGAATGCAAATGCTGGAAGCATCGAGAATGCTTCACAAATTTTTCCATGATTGTCGTGATTGTTTATCTCGGATTTTGGAGAAAAATCATTCGATACCTGAAGATCTTGGTCGCGATTCATCTTCAGTTGGTGCACTGAAACGAAAACATCAAAATTTCCTTAAAGTCTGTTTTCTACTTGGTTTCAGCTACTTTTACAGGTTAAATAAGTCGTCATGTCTCTCGTAGTATCACTTCCTTTGTACCTTATTAAATATGGCTCAGTAGATTTCAATGAAATAGTAGAAATACAGATGAAACTCATTTGTAGGATATCGAGGCTATAGGTCAGCAAGTTGCGCAAATCGAGCGCGATGCATTGGAATTGCGTGATGCTTATGCTGGAGACCGAGCAATCGAGATAGGTGCACGTGAAGCAGAAGTGCAAAAAGCGTGGAGACAACTACGTGCAGTGTGTGATGCGCGTTCGATAAGACTAGGTGATACATCAGATCTGTTTCGATTCATGATCATGGTCCGAGATTTGTTGCTGTGGATGAACGAAGTTAAGCGAGAGATGACATCACAAGAAAGACCGAAGGTTTGTTTTATAAGAAAAGTTTCTTTCGTAATTTACCAGGTTTCCAGCTCTGACATTCGATAATTCAAAAGAAAATATGAATAAAGATGTCTTATAGCTGAAAAGTTTCTTAATTTTAGGATGTATCTGGTGTTGAATTATTGATGAATAATCACCAGAGCTTGAAGGCCGAAATTGATGCACGTGAAGAGAATTTTAACGCATGCATATCACTGGGTCGAGATCTTTTGAATCGTAAACATTACGCATCATCTGAAATTGAAAAGAAATTAATTAAGCTAACAACAGAACGGGCTGAAATGATGCGACGATGGGAGGATCGTTGGGAATATTTGCAGCTAAGTGAGTTTCCTATAATTCGAGTTTTCGGAAGAACTACCAGTCAACTTACTGAGTGGCAAATCCAAGGTTTTCAGACAATGTTGAAGTAATGCTAATGATAAGCACTAGACTGATAAAAGTCATCATCTTATTAACAGGTGGATCTTTTTGCTATAATAAATTTCATCTTCTAGTCCTGGAAGTATATCAGTTTGCAAGAGATGCGGCAGTAGCTGAAAGTTGGTTAATGGCGCAGGAACCATATCTTGTTTCGAAAGAATATGGGGTATTTTATAGCCTTTTTGTTTGAATTAACCTCTGTTCAATTTGAATAAATAGTTTGGACTGGCATACCAAATAAATTAGAAAGAGTTATTTTACTTAAATGTACGAGATAATAATTGAGATATTTTCAGCGGAATCTGGAAGAGACAATAAAGCTAATTAAAAAACATGAAGCTTTCGAGAAGTCAGCTAATGCGCAAGAGGAACGTTTCTTAGCACTGGAAAAATTAACAACGGTACAATATTTTTTTTTTTTTTTTTAATACTTATCAGTAGTTGTTTTCAATTTCTTATGTATATTAAAGTTTTGGTTTAAGATTATCAGCACTTTCATGGTTTAATTTGTGTAGTGCATTATGTCATTGGTATCCCATATTTAAAAGTTATTTTAACTTCTGTTTGTACAAAATAATTTTTGTAATTCATTATCTGTCCAGCTGAAATTAGTAGTTAAACGACACCTGCTGCTGTTGTTGATTTACAACATCAGTGATGGAAACGTACTGATTGTTTTATCTACTATCATGAAAGAAAGCGTAATTAACAGTTTTGAATTTGATTCAAACCAATATAATATTAATAGTAATACAGATTATGAAGGACCGGTTTGTCAGTTCTATAGCTCCATTGTCTTATTGCTTACCGACCTCAAATTTCTACAAAATAATAAATTCGAAAAGTTATAATTGCCCTTATTACTTCATTTTCTTTGTTAACAAAAATTTTCGATAACTTATTAGTTTGGTACTAAAAAAATTTTTTTCTTGTATATTCAACTTTATTTAATATATGGCAGTGGCTGGTTTGAAGCCATGATTATTGCTTATAATTATTGCATTTTTTGAAATATGCATTAATGTACGACGATTCCAGTTTGAATTGAAAGAGATGCAAAGGCGAGATATGGAGGAGGTGGAACGTCGTGCACTCAGCGGGCCGAGTGGTGATGTACGCCGTGGAACGCTACAGCGAACATCAACTGCAGCAGCAGGCGAACGACCTGCAGAAGTTGCATTACCAATGGAAAGAGGGCCACAGACATCTGATGGCAAGTATAATATTGTTGTTAATTAGTTGTTTTACATTAGAAATGTTTGGTCACCGCTTAGAAATTACGATAAAAGGTTTTCTAAATGTTAGTTCTATATTATTATTATTTATTATTAGAGTTCTATCCTAATTAATCATAATCGAAAGGGTGAGAATTTGGAATAAGCGAGAGATGATTTTGCGAATTTCTTGTAACAAATGCTGCATGACTTGTTTATTAACTGTCGTTTTGAATTGTTTCTGATATAGCAATTTTTTTTTAAATAGCATTTGTCTTCAAGAAGCATACAATATGCACATTTGCACGTGTTATACAAGTGTTGCACGTTTTACTGTAGTGCATGTAGTTTTGCAGTGCACTTTGCAGATTTTGGTGACGAAAATTTGCACGACACAACTATGAGTAGCTGTGATAGTGGTACATTACTGCAAAAAACCAGATATATTGCTGGTATACAATTTACATTTTACTTGAGAGGACAAAGCACAAAAATTGTTATTTAAGATGAGGTTCATCTAAAAAAAGGTGCTGTTGTGTAGTTAAGTGATATTACCTCCTTGATTTTCGCATATGCAACAATAGGGCATATTTGTTTTGCACTTTTTATATTTTATGGATTTTGAAATTTTGTTTCTGCTTTTTTTTCGGTGCATGTGCTATGATTTGCATTATTTAATAAATTTTTCATTTCTGCTGTTTATGAACAACGTTTGAAATTCACAGCAGTGTGTTTCTGTCGTGTTAGGATAGTAGATGTAACAGTAGTAATAATCGTAGTGTTGTGCTGCTTACAGAACGTAATAGTCGATTAATGGCATCAGAATCATTTGGTTGGCGGTTGTCATTGTCAAGATCGGCTCGTTTTGATATACACGATTTACGGGGTAAGAAAACAAGGATTGGTTATTTCTGTCTTTAAAACTGATAGTTTGCATGGATTTTCATTGTTTGTACTTCGTTAGTGGTAGTGTTCTTGTATTCAAAACAACATAGTTCGGAAATTACCTTGTCACTTCTCTGGATCATCAAAATGAACGTCTCTTCAAGTGCGCTTCTTATACAATGTCAACCGTAAATTTTTTAGTTTTACAATATATTTGTAGAAATGTGTTACTTTTTGATAACTTCTGCTTTGTTCTAGGGGTTGATGTGGGCGGTGCTTTTGAAGGTGTGTTAATCAGGAAGCATACATATGAATCCTTGGACCGCAAAGCATCAAGCAGGTCAGATTTCCGTGTAGTTTGGAGTTTTAAAATTCTAAATTGCTATTTAAATTTTGATTAGTTTTTTGAAATATCATTTTTCCAGGTCATGGGAAAAAGTATACGCAGTATTACGCGGATCACAATTGGCATTTTTCAAGGACCAGAAACACATGGAGGAAAATATACTGTTTCACGCGGAGGAACCGTTAAATTTGGAAGGCTGTTCAGTTAGTGTCGCAGCGGAATATACGAAAAAGAAAAATGTTTTATCACTGAAATCTCCTACTGGAGCGGAGTATCTGCTGCAAACTGCCAGCGATGTGAGTTTTGGAATTTTTTTTATGAACATTTGAACTCTGGATGGAAATTGTCAGGTAAAATAAAGCATTACTATAACCAGGTGATAATCTCTCCGCATTATTTTAGTTGAAATAATTTTTCAGGAAGACATGGAACGATGGTTGCGACGATTACAGCTTGCTACAGGACAATCGCAGGAAGAAGTAGTAGCTCGTTCGCAAACATTGCCAGTTGAAGGGTCTACCAAAGCAAAAAAAGGCTTCTTTAGTCGAGGAAAGAAATGATTATTAGATGAAAGTGGAGTTCATGTCTAGGATTTACTTTGGCGAATTAAATGCCGAGGGATTCATGGTGTTGTAAGTTGTTTCATTTATGCAGAGTTGTTTTCGATTCGAAAGTTTTTGTGGATTTTCCAAGAGTCAGGGGTTTTTCAAGGATTTTAAGAGTCGATTTCTTTAAATTTTTTATTAATATCTTAAATGTATACTTCAAAAAATATTGTCCTGACAACAAATTAAACAAGAACGATGGAAAAGACTCTGTACTTTACAGTGCTTTTGTAAGCACTTTTTTTCATTTTCATTTTTGTCTGCTACATACTTTGTCATTTGAAATGTAAACAGAGTTTCATTTGGTGGTTCCTTCATGAGCTTATTATGTTTCCAATTCCTGGTTATTTCTTTTTTCCAAAGAATTTTGTTAACTAAGGAATGGATTTTCCATTCCAATTACGATGAAACATGGTGGTTTATGGTGATTCCATATGAGAAATTCCCTGGTTGTAATAGCTTTACTGTTTCTTCTTCCTCGAATTTGGATTTTTTTTTTTTATTTAAATATTATATTTTTTTGTTTTATACGTAATGCTATAGCAGAAAAAATAAGCTTCCTTTTTTTGTATATCTGTATTCTTAAGTTGAGAAAAGTTATGAACTGAATAAAGCTTTTGATTTATTTTGACGGTCTATAAAAATCATTTTCCTTGTATTCAAACACTTCAATTTTTTTCTCAAAATTATTGTTTAGAGGGATAGACTTTGGAAGAAACAAAGTTTGTTAAAAATAAATTCATTTAGTTTTATAATGCAAGTTACTTTACTTACTGACACCATATTAAGAATCCGAAGTGTTCACAAGAAATTTGCAAATGTATTCCCAGATGTATTTCTGAACTGAAATGTTATAACTGTCCTAGTCGAGACAATAACCGATGTGATCTATCCTACGCCTTGTCCGCTTTGTAATATTTAGCTGATTTTTACTTCCTTCACAAATTAATTTTGTGTGTAATCTTAATCACATTTCTATTTTAGTACTGCCCTGGCGCTTGACGAATTTTGTGATTTTGGTTACCAGCAAATTGTTTATTTAATTTAACAAAAAATTCTATTTTTAGAGTTTCATTTTAAGATAAAAAAGAAATGATTTTTCGTAAATTGCACATCGTAAAATTTATAGAATGAGTTAGAAATTCGTTTTTGCGCCGTATTTATTTTTAGCTTTCGACTATAGTGTTTACTTTTTTGACTTTTAATGAAACAGTTTTTTTTTCTTCACGTGGAGTACGTCATCTCATATTGAACTGAACGGAGTTGGAATGAATTAGATTGCAGATAGTATGAAATGTTCATGTATTGTTGTATGCACTGCCAACATCTCTATTATAGCATTTGCTGTGTAAGTGGAATTTTCGAAAATTGTCTTCATGAATCGCATTGTTATTGAATCATTTCTACGCTATTACTTCTGCTTAATTGACATTCTATCCTGAGCGGATGACATAAGAAATGATGCGCTACGGTGAAGAATTCATTGGCGCTTATCATATTGTATCGGCTAGTATTTTCATGACAAAAAAAAATATATATATATATATAAATTGATCTTGAATATGTGAATTGAAGTTAATGGATCAGTTGCTACTCATATTATTCTTTCTTTAAAGAAGAGAAGATTTTCATGAATTCTTTCAAAGAATTTTATGAAATTCTTGCAGTATGTAAGCACTCTCTAAACGCTTTTTCCATATATTTAAATCTTATTGAAACTTTTCGCAAAAATCTTTTGTTTTTCTTTTGCAGAATGAATTGTTGCAATATTTTAATTTCTCGGTTCCTTCTGAAAATTAGGACTGTAGGATTGTTTTGCTTCTATGCATTTTGAATAGTTTTTTTTTTATTTTTCACTACTTTTAGGACCACCGAATTAAGGATAAAAAAGTTGTTTTTTTTTTTTTTTGCATGGTGAAATTGTCCCCTCGCAATCATTAAATGTTATTGCCATAACTTATATGCGCTGTTGGGGGTTTTAGATTGTCTTCGTTTTTTTCTTTCAAATAAATCTGTTTTCTCGAAGTTTATTGTAATTTGCACTTGAAATAAGCAACGGTAGATAATTTTCTGTTTAATAGAAAGGGACTCAACATCCGCTAGACCGATCAGTGAGCCAGGACTAGAGGTCATATGATTGATTACTTGAGTTGAGTTATGGAAATTTTGTGAAATATTCGGCCTAGCGGCAGTCAGTGGCGTTCTTCATTGAACAATAACCTTAATTGGCTTAATATGAATGATTTTCTTCAACGTTATTCATTCCCAAGAATTCTTAAAATTCACTCGTAATTCACTTTTCTATCCTTCAAATTAACTTAACTGACTTTCCACAATGGTACAGTTAACCATCTGTAACAAGTGCTCGACTAGATAAATGGTGGACTGAATTGAATTGGAAGAATTCCTTTTTTATATGCAATGCATGAAATAGCGGATTGGTGAAATTGTTAAATTTTCCATGTGTCTCCAACTTCGCTTATGAGAGTTGAATAAAATTAAATTTATTTGCTAGGAAAATACATGGTAAGGCACAATCAGTTTAAATTCTATCCTTTACTGCGATATTTTCAAGAAAATTAGAATAAATATCTTGTTGTAATGTAGCAATTTAAAAGCTGTTCAGATTAATTAGTTTCGTTATTTAATTCTCATCATTTTCTGGCATGAAAATTTCCTATATAAGAACTTTATCTCAAATTAACAGTACTAGTGGGAAGGCAAGAATAATATAACCAAATGAGCTATAATAGTTATAAGTCAATAGACAGAGGTACATATTGCACATCATTTCTTTTTCATTTGTATGTTTCAAAATGACTGTAAATTTTTAGCTGCTTGCTTATTTTTCTATTTGTCATCTGAGATTTGTTTTGTTGTCTGATGTTAGTATATTATATTATGGGGAATCTATAGCTTTGGTTATAATATTATCGGGTATACTTTTGTTTTAATATTTTATTTCTTCATCGTAGAAGTTTTAGGCACGATAAAACGTGTAGTTATTTTTGGTGGAACAGGGTTTATAATCATCATAAGACACTTGCAAGTGTAGGGTATTTAATAAGATATTTACCGTAACCAAGAAAAAGCTCCTTTTTATTATCCTACAGTAGAGAAAATTGTTGATTTAAATCGCATTTCAGAGGGATATGGAATAAGAGCATACTCAATAGACTGGATGAAATAATAGTCTCGATATTTCCTGGACATTTCCTGTTAAAAAGAAGGTTTATAATTGGAAGCATCTTAAATTTAACAAGGTAACTGACAAAGACTGAGCTACAATTTTTTGTTCATCTTTTTATTAGTGTGGAAAATATTTAGTGTTATAACTCAGTCTTTTCCTAAAATAAGTTAAATTTTCCAAATTTGAAAATAATTTCCGTAAAAACTGCAATTTTATAAGTTATGAAGAAAACTTGATAATATAAGAACAACTGCGAATGAAATTAATTCTGCAGTGCAATCCTTTATTTTACACAGTTAATCTGTGATTCTCTTAAAGAGTGGATCCGTTCGTCATTCCTTTCAAGGACCTTTCTTCCCTTTTCATCGATCCAATTATTCACATATGTCCAAAATCTCCACAACTGTGTTGGTCATCCTTTTGCTCAATCTCGCAAAAACCTCTCTTGAAATCTTTTTCCTTTCCTCTCCAATATTTTTTTTACACACTTTATATTTAATACTCATCTCTTAATATATCACAGAATAATTCCTATCAAATATATCATTGTCTGATTATAACTCTTGAAATTGACTATTTCATGGCGCTAATTGTACAGAGCAATTCGTCTTGAAAATAAGTACAAGTAACATAGTAATGAAATGAGATATTGGATTAACAATCTTTTGGCTAAGAATAATACAGGAAGAATATCTGCCAGGAAAGATTCTTTGAAATTTAAATCTCTTAGGGATTTTCTAGCTATCCAAAAATAGTTTACTCATCATAGCAAGAATTTAAAATAAAGAAATCATAAATCTGGGGCATTCATAAACAGAACAGAACCACAGATTCACCAGCATTCCTCATTATTTGTTTCAAAGTAATAGCGGAGTAATAAAGATGTCCTACAATTAGTATTTCATGAATTTCGGGATTTCATTCCTCATTCTTCTTGATTTAGCATACCATGAAAATTGATCTTTCACTTGCAAATTAGTTAGCATTTTTTCGTCCATCCAGTCTATAAAATTTGTCACATTCGAAGACAAACGAAAAAAAAATTGTTTTACATGATTTAAAGTGCAATCATATTATCGCACTATTTTTATCTTTTTAAATTGCTTTTTTCAGTTAAAAATAATTGCTTCACTTCTTACTTCTTTCATTATTTCTTTTTTTTTTTTTTTTTTTTACAGGAAAAAGTAAATTATTAATGCTTCTCTTTATTTGTTTTTTCCCGCCTATTGGACAGAAATGATTTTTCGAAGATAAAATCAGGGAAGTAGTATTGAGCAGTTGTTGTTCAGCAAACAAAAAGTATTTCTATTCTTGTCCTTTCCTTTTGCCTTCCTAATAAATAGTCATTGATTACAAATTCTTCACTTCTCAATCAATACTACTTCTTCACTCTTCTAATTACCATTCTTCTCGAACGCAGCAATTTACGTACTAGTTTGATAATTGATATTACTGTCGTAGATGCATTTTTCCATGATGATGATGATGACCTGTTATCTGAATTTAAAAAGTTGTTCTTTTAAACTAATACTTATGTGTTGTTTTTTGCTTTAATCGAGCTTTTGAGGAATGATTACATTTGAACAGATTAATGAATATGATCTAAAAAACTGATAAGTAACGAATATTAGTTTAGAATGGAGTGAGCGCATTCGTTCCTAATACGAAAGCCGCAAACTGTTATCTTACGTACATAGATGCATATTTCTAGTTGAAAATGTCCATCTACTGGCATATTAATCACTCAACTGAAGGACGTGTCTTC